CACCCTCACGCTTCTGGGTTTCTAGCAGTGAACCTGGGGTAACCCCTTCCTATCTCTCGATGGAGGCATAATTGTACTGTCTCAGAGATACTGATCAGAGCGGATCTCTGACCCTTGGCATCTCTCCATCAGTTTTTCCGTTACCCACCTACTTTAACACATTGCCGTCAGCAGCTTTCGTGCTGCAGTTTTTCCAGGCCAGTTTATTAAGAAAAAGCTAAAGAAGAGAGGTCAGGGGCTCTGCCCTTAGAAAATTGCTCACTTGCTTTGGCGTGAGTAGGAAACCTTTCTGTGGCTGCTCTGTTGCCTCACTAGCCTGCTTGGAGCTAAGGTTTTAGGAGAAGACACTGGCTAAAGAGGTTTTTGTGCGAGCCTTTCAGGGCTGTGTTATTGCTAAATGTGGTAACCTAATTTTAAAACTATTTCTGTCTCAGGAGATGGCTCCGTCAGTATTTGCCATGCAAGTTCGGATCCCCAGTACTCTAGAAATCTGGGTGTAGTGACATGCACCTATAATCTCAGCACAGGGGCATAGAGATGGGAGAAGCAGATCGGGGGCCGCCTGGATGGCTCCCTAAACAGTCAGAATTAGAGGGATTGCTGAGATCCAGTTTCAGTGAGTGATACGACCTCAAAAATAAGATGGAAGGAATGTGATTAAGGAAAGTATTTAACACTGACCTCTGTTTTCTGTGTATACACGCATGCGTGTGCATAACCCCCCCCCCCAACACACACACAGATAACAAACCATTTTTGTTTGGTAAGAAAGCCAGACAGACCATGTCACTGATCCTCATTGGCAAGGATCACCTGGCAAGTGATCTTTTCTGCAAAGGCAGTAACGGCCCAAGTCACGTGAGTGAGGAAAATAAATACCCTTCGTCTACCCTGTTCTCAGCAGTAAAACCACACCGCACCAAGAACACATTTTAGAGTGGAAGCCCCGGGAAGAATGGAGAGAGGTGAGGATGCTGCCGCTCTCAAGTATAGTGATTCCTTCCCACAGTTTCTGCACACTCTGGATCAGTCAGAAGAGGCACTGTATGGCGTGTTTCCATCTCCATAGGTAATTCCAATGACAATCAGGTGTGGGACTGCTCCCATAAAGAGAGAGAAGGGCAGCAGAGCTCTGTAGTCCAAGCCTTCCCTTTATACACCGTCAGGGTATTTTGCCTGTGGACAGCTTCCACCCAGGTTCACCGACAGGAGAGAGACAACAATTTGTCATTTCGGTTTCAGTGTAGAAGAGGACTTCCCCTGGACCAGGCATAGTGGAATTGGAATAGGAGAGACTAACCTCCTTGATACATCAGGTACAAAAACACTGCCATCGATGTACTCAGAGGCCATGGAGAAAGGTTTTTTAGAGATTGATGAAAATACCATAGAATCTACAATATCCCCTAAAGGCCTAGTGGCTAGAGGCTTGATCCCCAAACTACCGTTTTATGGAAGTGATGGAACCTTATAGGTGAGGCCAACTGAGTGGTCATTGGACTTAAAGGATACTATGTCCTCTTGTCTTTTTTTTTTTTTTTTTTTTTTTTGCTTCCAGCTCACCATGTGGTCTCACTGCCATGGACCAAAGCAGCAGGCCTGACTGATCACAGACAAACTCACCGAAATTTCAAGCCCGAGTCAACCTTTCTACTTTATACATTCTTTATCTTAGGGATCCATCAGAGTTGGATCAGAAAGTTGGTCAACATGATGATGGTGGCACGTTCAAGAAGTCAGCAGGGTTCAGTTCAGGCTCACGGAGGGGCAGCCCAGTGACACCTATGATTTCACCTGTACCCATCAACTCATACACAGAACACAGGGAAACTTCAAAGACCTCCCTGTGGGTTTCAGGCTTCTATAATCTTTCTCAAAAACTTTGTTGATGGTCTTCCCTAAGGCATTTTAATTTCCCTTCAGAATCCAAAGCTTTCTTCTGCAAGTATCTCTCATACTATGAGAGCAAAGGAAAATTCCTCCTGTTGTCGTTCATGACTGAAGAATGTGCATCTGGCAATATAATGCCCATCATTTATCAAGAATATTCTTTTTTTTTTCTAAGATGGGGTTTCTCTGTATGTACTTCTAGCTATCCTGGAAATTGCTCTGTAGACCAGGCTGGGCTTGAACTCATAGAGGTCTGCCTGCCTCTGCCTCCCTAGTGCTAGGATTACCACCACCACCTGGTTTATAAAGCATATTTTCCACTATATCTATTAAGAACTTAGACATAACTGAAAATTGGGGCATTCATGGCCCCTCAGCTTTCTGCCTGCAGAAACCCATGGGCATAACCAGCTCATCTGACTCCTTGTGATTGGTGCCCTGGCCTCACTCTGCATAAAGTATTTGTCCAAATGGTCTAGAAACATGTCAGGGATCGAAGCATTCATTTCCCCACACTTTCCTGAGAGGCTTGTTCCTTCGTCAGCAAATCCTTTGATCAACATCTCTGGATAATTGAAAGGTTTTACCATCGATGGTGGAGGTGACATGGAAGGAAACTGAGGATCTGAAAGTGGATACACTGTTTTAGGTCCACTAAAATGGAGAGTGGAACATGTCACCACCTGCACTGTGCACTGTAAATTAGGCTCAGCTGTCACTACTTAGCCAAGTGCTGAGTCTTTACTGGCTACAAAGATGGCAGAAACAATCATTCAAACAAGAGAGGGAGACCCACAGAAGGGAAGCATTGCACTACCCTGGGCACATTTGTGGGTGCTTTATGTAGACCCTGCAGACCCCAATGTACTCAATTCACCTCACCTCTCACTACAGAGACACAACAGAACTTTGGACACATTTTTTTTTCTCAAATGTAAGGCTTGTAAGCCTTCCCCATGTTTTGGGTAAGGAAGGTAGACACTGCTTTCCACGAGGCTCCAGACAAGTTATATAAATAAAACTACCACAGACAGAGCCTTGAGAAGCGAGAAGGATGTGTAGAATCTAAGGCTGTGTGAAGGATAAGTTCTAGAAGCAGTGATAGCGGTCTGAGAGAGCCTCCTGTGGAGAGAGGGTTATAGGAGACGACTCAGAGAACACAGAGCTGGACTGAGAAGGGGAAGTGGTGGCTGGAACATGGGCTACAATGTTCAAAAATAAAACTGATAGAAACTCTCAGGACATAAATCTGCCCTAGACAGGCAAGGCAGAAGAAACGAGAGGCCACATCCATTTTCAGGCCTGCACAGGTGCCTCGGACTCAGAGTTAATAATTGTTCAAGGACGAAGGCTGTGATGAATGTTCAGAAGTTGACCCACATCTTCAGACAAGGCAAGCAGTGCTGGGAACACCCACAAATGGTCTCAGATTCTTGTGAGAATAAGGCAGGACCCTTCTCCGGGGGCAAAATGGCCGATTTAATACCCGGCCTTCCCACCTTCTTTATGGTGCACAGTGGTCCAGGTGAGGAGTGACTTAGCCTCTGTGTCCAGATCCCAAAGGGACTACATGTCATTATACTGAGCTGCCTCACCCTGTGCTCTCTGACCTTACTACCAACTTGCAGGAAATGGGTTTCTAGACTCATGAAAATTCTCCTCTATAGACCAAAGACTAATGATGTTGTCTTCACCAATGTGAGTTTGGATGGATCTAAAACCAAGACAGCCTTAAACAGAAACCTTGAAATAAACACAGGGAGCTTGCTCTTTGTACCCAGCATCTTTTGTGCTGCACTAGAATCCACAGATGGCAAACCGGATATAAAAGGCAGCTTAATTATCCTCTGGAATCTCTTTAAAACATTGAAGGAGGAGCTGCAGCCGTGGCTCAGAAGATGTGAGCCCTTGCTGCTCTTCCAGAGGACCTCACTTCAGTCACCAGCACCCACATAGGCCACTCCTAACTGCCTAGAACTCCAGCTTCACAGGATCCAGTGTCCTCTTCTGGCCTCCACAGGAAGCTGCATGCAGTACAAAATGCAATTGCACGGACACATAACATATGTAAATCAAAGCAAGATTTTGGAAAGAGAAAATACTTGAGAAGTCTGTGATCCATAATCATATTTCTCAAAATCTCTTCATTTATCACATCCATGGTGGCTACCCAATTTCCCTAGCACCTCCTCCCCTAGTCTTTTCCAAATTTTAAGAAATAAAACTCATAAAGGCTTCCACTCTTTCCCTTCCTACTTTGCTTTTCTTCAGGTTGTTGCTCTGCTCCCAGCTACCAGGCCCTGCCATCCCTGTTGCTGGTCATACCCATTTTACTGAGGCCAGGCATTGAAGTTTAAGTGGGTTAAGGCTACAACAAATAAGGCAGAGGCCGAGCTGTGTAATGTAACTCCATGGTCACCTGGATTTCGATCTAAACTACCCTACTATGCCATCGAGTATTTCTTATTTTCTTGCTAGATAAAATAAGACAGTGACGAGACGTTATTATTTAATCTTGTGAGGAGAAATGTTTGAGGCCTGACACATATCCTTAAGATACCTTGGCCATTACGGAAAGCTGAATCAGCCACCTGCGCAGGGCCTTAACAGGTTCCCAACTTCAGGTGCCAAACCCTTCACCTTCGCATGGAACGCTTGCTTTGAAACAGATTCCTGGCCTCTCTACAGATCTGAAGAATCAGAATATGGGGGACAGAGTCCAGAAATCTGTGTTTTTAAGCTCAGCAGAGAGTTTGGACAATAATAATGTTTGGCATGCCCTTTTCATGTAGTACATACCATCTGAATTGGTTTTCTCTTCGAATTGGTATAATGTGGAAACTTAAGAGTTCATTTATCTGACCTTTAGTGATGGGCAAAGGGCAAAGAAAGAAAACGCATGGACCCAGAGGATAAGCGTAGGCATCAAAAGGTCTGAAATCATTTATTTCCCATCGCTTACCCACACATCAATATCATTTCCCATAAAATGTTAACAGCAATCTAACAGATTAACAGTAAACAAACTTATATTCTGTTTATTGCTGTGTCTCAAAAGAAACGCTACCGGTTCTAACTAAATGTCTGTTTTTATGTTCTGTCATTTCCAGGCATGAAAGTAACTCAAACAAATCCCAAGGCATAAGGAAATGGGCCTCGCTCTTCTGGACTCTGCAGCATTGGAAATGAAGCCGAGCAGACTTTATTACATCCCACGATTCCGCAGCCTTTTGCAAAGCATTTTATTGCACTTGAGGAAGCCACTGGGGTTACGTTTCAATCACAGTGACTGACAGGCTAACTTCACAAACAGTAGCAGAGAGAGCCTGCCACAGTTTCTCACTGAGGTACTGAGAAGAGGACCTTTTCCATACTGTCCCTTAGCCTGGATGAAAATAAAGTGGTAGCTAAAATATCTACCTGGTGTTGCTTTGCTGGCTGACTTAAAAATTGCTATTTTCAGGCCTTCAAAAGGTGTAACTGAAGAAGCTGCTCTTTTGGAGCTAGTAGGTTTCCTGTGAGCCAAGAGTTGGTTATAGTAGAGGTGAGATTTAGAGAATTTCATTGACTGGTTAATGCACAAAAACCTTTCTGTGGCCAAATTCTCCTCCTGCCGTCAGTACACAAAAGCTAAGTTGGAAGAGATCAAAATGGCCAAAGTCACTGTGGAAAGTGAGTTAGCACAAGGTGCTACTCATGTATCTTGCATTATTTTGTGGTTTTGAATCTTTCTTTGCTTCATCTATCTGTCTGTCTGTCTATCTATTATCTATTCTGTGTATCTGGTTGTTTTTACTCTTTAGCTCTTTGGTTCTTTAGGAGGCCTGTTACCTAGCTCCCAAATAAATCACACCTAGTCCTATTCTTGCTTATGAATGCCCAGTCTTAGCTTGGCTTATTTCTAGCTAGCTCTTCTTAACTTAAATTATCCCATCTACTTTTTGCCTCTGGGTTTTATCTTTATCCTATATATCTTTCTTTACTTCTCACTCTATGGCTTGCTGTGTAGGTGCTGGGTGGCTGGCCACTGGAGCCCTCCTCCTCCTCTGACTGCTAGATCATTTTTTGCTTCCCTATCCCTCTTTTCCTCTTATTTATTCTTCCTGCCAGCCCCACCTGTCACTTCTCCTGCCTTGCTATTGGCCATCTGGCTCTTTATTAGACCAATCTTCGCCTGTTTTAGACAGGCACAGTAGCACAGTTTCACAGAGTTAAACAAATGCAACACTGAAGAATGCAACACATCTTTGCATCATTAATGTTCACATCATAAACAAATATAACACATCTTTAAATAATATTCTACAGCAATCGTGTGTGTGTGTATGTGTGGTGCCTCAGTATATTTGTGGAAGTCAGAGCACATCTTTCAGAAGCTGGTTCTTTCCTTCCACTTTGTGGGTCCTGGGGATGAAGCTTTGGTTGTTGAAATTGACAGAAAGCATTTTTACCTGAATGAGCCATATTACCAGTTCTCCATCGTATTTTTTTTTTTGAGATAGAGTCTCTCTTCTAGTACCTGGGGCTCACTGATTATGTTAAGTAGGGCAGCCAGCAAAACCCAGGGATCCACCCATCTCTACCTCTCCAAATGCTTGGGTTATAGGCACAGAATATAATGCCCCACTTTTTGAGTCAAACTCTGTTCACATTCTGGTGTGGTAGGCATTTTACTACCTCTCAGTCCCATACAGAGTACTGGGAATATAAGGGAAAGAAGCAAAGAGAGCACCAAGTACCTATCTAGCTACTGTGCCGTCTCTATCTTGCTAAATTCTTTTAGAAAGAAATTATGGAAGCTGATCTTTGCTCCGAAATTTCAGAGAATGGGGTTAGAGTTTGCACAGGTAAATGGTAGCGTGGAAACAAATGTCTGAAAACAGCCTTTTTTTCTTGTCAACATAAATTCTCTTTGAGAATTTCCTTTGGCGTATTGGTCACTCCCAACTTGACCCCATCACCAACGTACAGTGACTCAGATCCTATGGCTGCAGGACCGAGGCAGCTTATACCTTAGATAATTCCTTCCACTGCTGCTGTTTACCAATCCTTCCACTTCTCCGCCTCTCCCTCTGCTCCTGCATGGCTTAGAATACCTGTTTTGGATCTTCCAGGGCCATCATAAGAATGCCTCTGCTTCTTTCATCTACAAAGCCCACTGATTCCAGGAATCTGAAAAGGGTTTACCTTTCAGATAAAGCCCACTCTTCAACCTACAACTTAGGGTGTTTGGTACTGGACTGTTTCTGATCTTGTCTAATAGACGGTGTACGATTCAGCGCATTTTGTTTAAACTCTTGCTCTAGGTCTTTGCCAATAGTCCCTGACAAAGACTGGTAGTGCCTCTTGACAGGGAAGCTGTTCGGGCCTCCAGCCTGGACTCTATGGTTCTTTTCTTAGCTGGAAATTAGAAGCTCTGTCATCTGAACAGGCTGTGCTCAGTAGATACAACATCAGGGAGCAAGAGGGAATGGGGAACATACCCAGAACCCCCCCACACACCCCCCACCCCGCTGGAGGTTTGCTGATTGGTCAGTCAAATAAAAGCCCTAAAAACCACCATTCCTCTACCATGAAGCTCAAATGTGTGGCTCTTTGACTTTTGTAGCAAAGGGACTTGAAAGCCTGCTCCTGTCCCTGCAGTTAATTCTGCTCTACACCCACTGGCTCGGAAGCCCTGGTGAGTAAGAGCTTAGTCACAGGGAACAATTAGTTGAATCATACCGCAAGTCATGTTTGGTTTTCCATGTTGTCTGTGCTGTCAAAACCCTGCAAAATTCCTGCTTCGTTTCTGCCTCTTTCTCCACGAATCTTCTTACCTCAGTCTTTGCCTAACTTTTGCCCCACTGTGAAACTGTGCTGTATAAATACATACACTGAAATAGTGTCGTAGGATGAAGCAGAGTCAGGGCCTTTGGGAAGTGTCAGATCATGAGAATGTTATGCCCAAATCTGCAAAGTCCCCCAAAACCAACAAGAAGACCGAGTCCCATATGTAAAAGCAAAGAGCCTTTATTTTATGCAAGTTTGCAAACTTGGTCTCTCTGTGTGCCCAACATATTAGAATAATTGGAAAGTTCTGAGCACAGTTAGAGTTGGGTTTTTATAGTAGTAGAAGTGGGGATGAGGGGTTCAAGACCTCTGATTGGCTAGCATTTGTCTAGAAGTGTCCTGGTGAGTGTGTGCTGACAGGTTATCCTATCTACAGCGTTTGGAACATTAGGCATTTCCTTTGGATGGTCTGTTCTAGGGTGGTGCTCAGGTAATCTTAGTTTATGGTCCTTTCTGCAACCAGGTATTGCTTCAGGGTAAACTACTGAGACTCAGGCCTCTATTAAATTTATCGATGGCTGAGTCCTACACTGGCAGGTGATAATGGTTAGAAGTAAAGAACTTCCTTTGGGTCATCTGTTCATATTTAGCTTATCATGGCTCGCTCCTCCAGAGAGTACAGTCTCCTACAGAGAACACCGACAGGGCTGCCTACTTTCATCACACCCTGTGAGCACCCAGTGCCATCTAGGAAGCAAACGTGAAACTTCACTGGATGGCTAATCTCTGAGCACCCGGACCTTGGACTTCATGCTTCCAGAACTCTGAGGAAGGAATGCATGCTGTTTAGGAGCTATCTTGTTGCCTGTGTATTGCTTCATATTGTTCAAGAGGCTCTGGTTTGCTTTGAACTAAAGATAAGGGAACTGGGAAGGGCAGGCCTTGTTTCAGTAAGGCTGTAGATCCGGCACACGTGTTTGGGAGATGAGTTGGAATCTGTTCCTGCTCATCAAATCTTCCCTCCTCCTTGTCATATCATACACACTGCTCCTATAACATCCTCATGACAGGCATTGCGCTGGAAACGGTCAAAACCTTAGCTCAGACAAGCTTCTCAGCACCGATCCTCTTTTCTTTAAGATACATTCAGCTTCTACCATATGCCCCACATTAGGAGATGTGTGGCATTCAGGGGTCAGCAAACCCATCCACAAGACCCAGATATCCTGTTCGTGTAGACCAGGAGACCAAAGCTGAGAGAGTTTGTGGCTTGCTTTAATCTATATGATAAGAACGCAGGGTCCTCTTGAGAAGCTGCCCTCTTCCCCCTAAGTTAAGCTGTTTCTCAGAATAGGGGAGAAGGAGACGCTGCCTATGTCCCGTGGGAGAACTCTTCGCTTTTCCCCACTGCTCAGGCTCCATAGCACGTCTACATTCCTAGACTCAGTTTGGGCAGCTGAGGCTCAGTGTCTATCCGTACAGTGTATATTTGCTAAGTACCCTCAGGACTCCTTTCTTGTAGAATCTTCTGGGAATTATTAGGGCTTTCCTGGACTGCTCCTCTGTTTTCCTCCAGCCTTCTCGTGTTATGAGACCATTAAGGGAACTCAGAGCTCTCAGTCTCTTTTTTTTTTTTCCTTCCAGCCTCTTTCTTTCCTCGCTCCCCCTCTTTGCTCATGTTCTCTTCGCCAGAAGCTAGATCACACACACACACATGCACACACACACACACACACACACACACACACACACACATCTGTGAGCTCTAGAGGCTTTGCAAAAGCTGTGGTTCTCACACTGCTGCTTTGGTCTGCATCACCAAGAGTGTACGTCAGACCAAGAGTGTACGTCAGAACTGAGGTTGGGAGCTGAGGAGATGGCTCAGCTGGTAAAGGATTAGAATTTGATCCCCCAGAATAGACATTAAAAAGCCAGACGTGTTAGCACCCACTTGTCATGCCTCCACGGAGGAGACAGAGACAAACAGATCCCTGGGACTCACTAGTTAGCCTTCCAGGCCTAATTAACAAGCCCCCAGTCCCATTGAAAGACCAGATCTTATAAAACAAGGTGGATTTTGAGATGGCTAATCTTGGTTATGAGCTTGACATAACCAGGAAGAGAGAACTTGCCTCTATCAGACTGGCCACTGGGTATGTCTGTGGCCATTTTCTTGATTGGGGATTAGTATAGGAGGGCCCAGCCCACTGGAGACAGTACAATTCCTAGGTAGGTGGGCCTGGGCTACACAAGAAAAGTGACTGACCATGAGCCTGAGAGCAAGCCAGAAAGCAATACTTCACCATTTTGCTATGCTTCACTTTCTACTTTAAGCTCCTGCTTTAAGTTCCTGTCTTGGCTGCTCTCAATGATAAACCATGACCTGAAAGTATAAGATGAAATAAAGCCTTTCCTCTCCAAGGTGCTTTTGGTTGGAATGTTTTATCACAGCAACAGAAAGCCAGCTAATACAGATGTCACTGAGCACAATACCTGATATTGACCCTATCAAACACACAGAACCGCGATAGCAAGTCAATCCCTCTAGCTTTCCGTGCACAGTTCCAGGCCAGAGACAGCCAAGCCTCTTTTTGATGTCAATTCTGGTAGTTGAGAACCCATATTTTGAAAGCCACCAGTTTC